TGTCATATGGTGTGCTTAAGTGTGATTATATTACAGAATTACATGCTTATGATTTTTTAATAAAAGACTTTGTAATAAAGGGGGCATTATTTGCATCAGACCCTGTATTTACACCCATCCATACATACACATAGTGTGGTAAAGTAGTAAGAATGGGTAATGTTTCAGGAATTTAAGTTCATTGACTTGAGTATCTAAAACTGAAAGTATACTATAATCTATTTTAAGGAACACTGAATGTTATAAATTAGCAAAGATTCAAAAGAAAGCACTTGGTAGTACCTGTTATCAGACAAGCTTTATCTCAACAGATGATTGTATTATTATAAATTCTTAACAAGGAAGTAATCTTAGAAACAGACAACAGAAAAATCATCATAAATGGGTCCTTGTGTGCCTTAACAGACTTTCACAATACGCAGGCTGAAGATGCCAGACAAAGAAATTACTTTAAAAAGAAATATGAATACTTGGGAAACAAATTTCCTTATTAGGGTATTGATAAAATAGAGGAAGTTGTCATGGGAGGAAAATGTAGCCCTGCAATTTCAGCCTTAGAATATGAAATAGAACATTCACCAAATGCCAAGTTTTCAGCACAGATCCTACACAATAATACCCTCTTTATTCAAAATTTCTTGGTACTCAAGGTTCTAATAATCTCCATTTCTGTTTCCCAACAAAGCTCTGCCAAGTATAATTAGATTTGAACAAAACTACTATGGACACTGTATTCTCTAAAGAATGGAAATTTATAATAAAAGAGACTCAAAACAAATCTACATGCCGTTAAGGTAGACAAGAAAAATCTCTTTTACCTATAACTACTAGGTGTTGCTGAATTTGACAGCAAAACCTCAGAAACAAAAGGGAAGAAATGAAATAAAAAGTACGTAATAAGAAAACAAACTGTAAGAAAAATTTAGTTATAATAGTATTATTTTCAATAAAACCAGTAATTCAAAGTGCATTAATTTTGCCAATCAGTTAAATTGGGATGTAATGAGAAAAGCATCCTGAAAAAATACAAGCAAACAGTACATTCTTTATATAATGGCAAGAAAATGCTTTAAACTTATAAATTATCAATGATATGTCTTTGCTGTTGGTAAGCAGTATTGCAGGCACTCAAGTGCAACAGATGTTTTTGGCAGTGAAACCTGACCAAGAAAAATGAGAATGTTGTTAAGACACAATGTGTTTCTGTCTACTGCAAGGTCTTATACAGCAGAAATAAAGGCTTATTTGATGCTCCCCATGTCAGAAAATAGAAATGATACTTTCTGCTAATGCTTTAGTATTTATTATCAGAAAGCCCCAGAATACTATATTAACATTTGGGTGGGGCAGGGGCTGGGAGAGTCCAGTGCAGACAAGTAAACCAGGAGCTTGTTCATAAAAGGTGATTAAATGATAACAGCATAATGAAGAAACAACAAAAACAAGCACCAGCATGTACCTTTTAACTGACACCTACAGAAAAGTGGTCACTATCAGCTGACAAGTAAGGAAATCAGACATAACCTCAAAGGTGCATTCTTATATTAAAGCATGGGTCAATATTATGACTATCTTAAAAACTCTGACATCATTAGCAATTCCTTGTGTTTCACCTCTCTCTGCAGATGGTGGATATAAACCTTGAACCAAAACTAAGGAATCTCCACTGAGGGGGCACATAGCAAATGAACATTCTGAGCTTCTCCCATAAGATCCACTCAAAACACAAGAATTTACTATGCCTTACACTACTATACATATTTACCAAATAATTGTATTTTCTCCCCAAATGTACTATAAACACATATACGGCAGTTTGATCCCAAGTAAACTCTAAGTCGGGTATCAAACTTATTTTCACCTGGGGCCACATCAGCCTCGCAGTTGCCCCCAAAAGGCTGAATGTAATTTTAGGACTGTGTAAATGTATCTACTCCTTAACAGTTAAGCGAGAGCTCAGAGCACAAGGTGCCGGCCGGATAAAACAAGGTGGAGGGCCGGATACAGCCTGTGGGTCTTGTGTTTGCCACCTGTGCTCTAAGTTTTCCAGAAAAGAACAGGGTTATTTAATCCATACTTAGATATTTTCTTACAGTCCCAGGAAAAAAGCAGCTTTCATTCTTGGACATGACAAAAGTTGGGAAGCTTTCTTAAAAGGATGGGACTAGAAGAGAGCATGTGACCTAGACTAGGGCCAGATCAGTACCTAGGATCAGCTGCTACATAACAAAAGTCTAGCAAATAATCTTGGAAATAGAAGCATTTTTAAAATTATGTATCACCCAGAAGTTTTCAAGTTCACTATAACCTACCTACTACTAAGTAAAGCAAGACAAAAAGCCTGTGGTGGCAGTTGCTCCTATAATCACCACTAGTCTCAGAAAGGGAAACGAACAGTTTTTCTCTGGAGAGCTGTGCTCTTTCCTTAGTTTACCATATATCAGCTATTTTACACGTCATCATAAATCAAGGACCGAAATAAGAATACCAGCTCTCTTTATTTCCTAGTTGTGTCTGTGAAAAGAAAATGACAAAAGCACTGATGCTCAATTACAGAAATTTCACCAGAATCTCCAGGGGAAAAAAATAAGGGGAAGTATGTGTGCATAATTTGGTGGAAGCAGATGTACCATTAACTGCAAATAATCTACCAAAAAGAGAACAAAGAACATCAGCAGCTGTGTTCCCTGAAAACCTGGAGGAAGAGCAACAGATCTGAAAGGCAGGTTTAAAAATGCAGGTACCACACTCAGGGAAGAAGCAAAGAAGTGAGGGAGTAAATGACACCACTGTGTACACATGTATAGCACAGGAAGACAGAACAAACCAGAAGGAATACTAATTTTAAGATCTAGTGGACTCACAGCAAACTAAGAAAATAAATCGTGTTTAATCATCAATATTATTTATGTATTATTATGTAACATGTATTCATTTTTACTCTTAAACACTATTACTCAGAACCTCCATAAATTCTCATTTCTCTATATGAGTCCCTCCGGAACTACTTGTGATTTTGAATAAACTTCTATATCTAAAGTGCTAAAAGTGACCTGAGCCACTAGTGTGGCTCATTTAGTTGGGCATCATCCCCCAAAGAGAAAGGTCACAAGCTCAATTTCCATTCAGGGCACATACCCAGGTTGCGGGTTGGATCCCCAGTCAGGGTGCCTACAAAAGGCAAGAGACCAATATTTCTTTCTCCTGTTGATGTTTTTCTCTCCTTCTCTTTTTCCTCCCTTCCCCTCTCTTTCTAAAAATAAATAAACAAAATCTTAAAAAAAATATGCCCTGGCTGGTGTGGCTCAGTGGACTGAATCCCAGCCTGATAACCAAAGGGTCGCTGGTTCGATTCCCAGTCAGGGCATGTGCCAGGGTTGTGGGCCAGGTCCCCAGATGGGAGCACACGAGAGGCAAATACACATTGATGTTTCCCTCTCTTTTTCCCTCCCTCCCCTCCTCTCTAAAAATAAATAAATAAAATCTTTAAAAAAATAAAAGTGACCTGAAATTGGAAAAATAAAACTTGAGAAATTCCAAGTAAGAAACATTTTATTTACAATCTAATCAGTCACACTAAGCTAAAATAACGTAAGACCATTTTTTAGACCATGTAATTTAAAAAAAGCCCTACAAAATAAGAAATCATGTACTCTTGCCTACTATGAATTACATTCTCTTCCCTTATGTACAGACATTCTTCTTGGACACATAAGCTTTAAACTGTTTTTCTAAGAGAAGTAACACCTATACATTCATGGATAATCCACAGCTGATCAACAATACACATTTGTGAACTGGTTGAGAATGGGTGGGCAATTTGTATTCAAGCCAACCCAAGTGAAGCTAATAGCCTGTCTGAAAAGTGAACCCATAACCTTTGTCTCATTAGCACTGAGCTCCAGCTGTTAAAGATTCAAACACTAACTTGGGTTTAAAGGGGAGAGGAGGAGGCAGTAAAACACTAACAACAGGGAGAAAATTTATACAATCAAGTCTATGCAAAATTTTTATTAATGGAAACCAGCTGCAAGAATGAACGGTGCAGTTTTCAGTATTTGAGCCTGGTGGGAATACTGATGGTTTTTTTTCTATTTCAAGTTTCCATTCTGAAAGCAAGGCCCTTTAATTCATTATTCCTTCAGAGTCCCTGGAACTCCTAAGAATACCTTTCTGAAACAATTGCTCTAGATCCCAAATTACCTATGTACTAGGAGATATCTGCTCTGGCTTTGAAAAGACATTCAAAGTCGTTCCTTATATAAAAGTCATGCATCCACCATAGGAATAATGTATTTGAAATTCTGTTTTAAATATGAGGTCTACAGTCTCTAGCACAGCTTAATTCAAAGTTGTGAAATTTAGACTTCATGCTCAATATCAAAGACATACACCACTTACCAAACACTGTGATAAAATATTCACCACTGGTTGTTTCCACCATAATTCTATTCTGACTGCCACAACTTAACTCTACCATTTGATAAATATTTTTTCCCAAACTCTGGTTAATTACTCTCTCTCCTCAAACAGCTCTAATCAATTTAAAACCTGTTTGCATGTAACCACCTCAATACTTATATATTCCACCATTTGCCCCCAACACCAGAAACAACAAAAAAGCTATACACTCATGGGCTTTGTTTTCCTGACACGACTACCAGCTTTTCCAGAATAGATCTTATATAATATTTGATTTGAGCAGAAACTGCCCCTAGGAAATTGAGATAGTAGCTTTTACCCATACTGGAGAAAATCATTCACATAAGCTTTTAAGACTAAAACAAAATGAATACCCACTTCTCATTGCAAGTGTAATTCAGATATCCTAGAGTTATGTGCAAGAAAATACATAATTGTTAGAATCCTGAAGGTTGAGTAACATTTCTGTGAAAGAACCTCTAGAACCCCAGACAAGAGGCAAGAATATTTGCATCAAATTACTATCAACTTAAAACCATTATAAGACTGGTTTTAAAATTAAAAAGCAAAAAACAAACCTCAATTTTGTCTGTTTTGGCATCTCCCCAGTATATTTTGCCTTCATCATAATCCAAGGCTAAACCATTGGGCCACCCAAGAGAAGTGTTAACCAACACTACTCGGTCAGAACCATCCAGAGCTGCTCGCTCAATTTTCGGGATTTCTCCCCAGTCAGTCCAATACATGTACCTATAGAAGTATAAAGAAAATGAGCTAAAAACGGATAATAAAGTGTAGCTTTTAGTGTCCTAAATAAAGGTGAGGTCCAACCCTCATATCACACTGGTATTACCAATTAATATCATACAAAGGAATAAAAACACAGCACTTAAATATACTAAGAGTATGTTTAAGACACTTTTAATAGCATATAAGCTTATAGGAAATTTTCAGACTAAACATTTTTCTAGATTTGATAATAAAAATGCCTTCCAATAATGAGATTCCATTTTTAGTCATGTTTTTTCAAAATATTTTGTGTTTCTTTGTGTGAACAACCCTCTCTTTTTCTTGCTCATTTGTCATTTCTGACACAAAAAGGTTAACAGTCAGATTACAAACTGAATTCCAAAATAACTAATTCTCCCTGTAATGCTAAGTGATTCTTCAGGCTCCTGGGAGTTTAAGTGGCTCTAAGGCACTGATATACAACAAAGTGTAATGATTTGCCATTATGTTCGCCCACAGAATGAATCTCATAGTTAACAAATAACATTGCTGAGTATATAAAAATCTTTGTTTCCCTTAACTGTGGCCAGGGTGTTATGGCAAAGGAAAAAAAAAAAATGACTGGAAGTCCAGCTGCATGGCATGGCCAGACAAGTTTTGAAAATAGATTCATTTGTATATTTAAAATATATAATGTAAGGTTTTTTTTCCATATCATTCTAGGAGTACTGCAAATGAAATGAAATTAAGTCTTCTAGGGGAAGAAAGAGTTCTGAAAACAATTTCTTTCCTCATTTTTCCTGGTCATGATGCAACCTCAGCAAAATTTGCAGCCAACACCCAAAGTCAGCAAGCATGAACTTAATTTAGAAAGAAAAAAATTTTCAAAAAATCCAAGGAAAAAACTAGCAATTCTTTAACTTGAGACTCTATTACAATCACTATATTCTAAAAATGGAAAGCCACTAAAGAGCTATTTATTGGAAATCATATATAATTCATATTGTTTTCTGTCAATATATTTAGGGACCTGTAGAAAACAGAAACACCAGGCAAAATTTTCTATTAGTGGAGCTTCTTACCCAACCATGGGATCTAACACAATAGCCCGGGGTTCCTCTAAGTCCTCTGAAATCAAGATCTTCCTCATGGTCCCATTGAGCCTTGTCACTTCTATCCGATCAGTGCCAGTGTCTGTCCAATAAAGATTTCGGGCAACCCAGTCAACAGCAATACCATCAGGATGCGCAATCTGAGCGGTGACCACAAACTGACTGCCAGTTCCATCGATGAATGAGCGGCGTATGGCCCTCACTTCATCATCAGTCCAGTAGATATAGCCTTCCACAGGATCATAATCGATAGCAATGGCATGGCGGATATCTTCTAACTGTAAAACAATGTCTGTGAAGTCTGGTGTATCCAAAGAAATGCGTCTCAAGTCTGTCCTTCGGGCTAAAAGCAGTAATTCAGTAGCACCTAGAACAAGGTGGAATAAATGGGGGGAAAAAAGAATTGAAACCCACAGGCAAAATTTAGCCACTCTAAAAAGAATGCAGAACTTCTTCAGGAATTGAAAAGTAAAATGAGTATAAAAGGACACTAGGATCTATTTAAGGTGAAAACGGACAGTAATGTGGTGCAATAGGAAGAGCTTGACTATGAGGTGAAGCTCTTCAATACCTGAGCTCCCCAAATCAAGTTTTGATTTCTTCTCTCATTTCATTCATTATATAGCCACTAGAAATAAAACAGCTACTTAATGGTATAATAAACAACAAGTAATGACCAAAACACTAAGCAGCTGAATATTAAAGGAGGAAGGAGACAAAATACAGGTCTAGTGTTCAAGAAGTATGTTTTTAAAAAGCTGAGGAAATCTAAGGCAAGGATCTTTTGTGACTGATGAAGATATTCTGAAATTGGATTGTGATGGTTGCACAAATCTGTAAATTTACTAAAACTCATTGACTTGTACATCTGAAATGGCTGGATTTTATGGTATATAATTATATTTCAGCCAAGCTGTTCAGACAAAGATAATGTCTTGCAGAGAATTATACCAAAGGAGGCTATGGAGAAGGAAATGCAGCAGCAGAGAGAGGGAAATCAGGTAAATGTTAACACAGTGGTTAAAAGTAAGTTGTAGATCTACCAGAAATGAATTCGAGTAGCTATACAAATTTAGGCAAAACGCCTAATCTCCCTAAGCCTAGTTTCTTCCTATCTCACAGGATTGCTGCAAGGACTCAGGAATGTACTGAACATAAAAGTACCCAATAAATATTAGCTAATAATTATTTTCATTAGAAAATAATTTCAAAATTTTATTTCACTGAGTTTTAAATCAGATTTATGAAATATTTAAAACTCAAATTAGTATTCAATAAAAACCTAGCTAAGACTGAGAATATTAAGCTCAATATTTTTTTGTTTTGGTTTGTAATGTTTAAGTAAATAACTAGCAAAAAGTTACCTAACTATAAAAGCTAATAAAAGATAGTAAGAAAATTGACATCTGAAGAAGTGAAAAAAGATTCCCAACTAAAGAAATTAATCCAAAGGAAAATACTGGCATTAAACTTTGATTATAAATCTGGAATTATAGTTGAAAAACACTGGGAAGAGTAAAGTTCTCAACATCAGTTTTCTGCATCTAGAATTAACTGTAAGTGAATTGTCTTGGAGAAAATATAGCCCTAAATGCCATAGCAAGCACCAACCATAAAATTCACTGCCTCTGCTGTAACTACCAAAAGGAGCCAGCCCAAAACTTTCCAACAAGTAAGTCACAGAAAGTGAAGTTGTTAATTTGAGCAAGGTATCAAAATAGACTAGTTAACTTAAGGCTATTACATGTCAAATATATATCTGAATTGCATTTGCATGCTGTGAGAGAGTAGATAGACCACTACTGCTAAAAACACAAACAAACAAAAAAAGCCCTGTTTTAAAGCCAGTCTACATATTTTTAAACAAAAAAAGGAACACTACAAAAACCTTTTGTTTTAAATGGAAACCAAATTATTGTTTGCCATGGAAACCGTCTGACAAGAGTCGGCCAGCTTCACCTTTAGCTATGAGGATAATTTATCAACGCCAAGTCATGACAAATATCCTGCACACCAGCTCAGTTCCATCTCTCCGACTGCCTGACCCCCTTTCCAGGAACTCTCTAACCAACTCTGAAATAAAGGCTTCTGCTTTTCAGAGTTAGATAAAGAAGCCACTGCTAAATATATCAATTTTCTTACCAGGTCTTGCTGGTGGCTAGAGAGCCAGATGGTGATCCACAGGGGTAAGAATAAAGAACAACATTCTCATTAAGAGGAAAAAGAGGAAAAAGAAAGAACTGGTGTTCTCCCAAACCAGAAGCCCCCTGAAATGCCCTAGTCAGTGTACTTCTCAAACATACCCTGTCTTCAGAGCAGCAATTCTCGACCTTTTCCAACTCATGGCACACATAAACTAATTACTAAAATTCTGCATCATATTAAAAATATTTTCCCGATCTGACAATAAAATAGGTATAGTTTTGATTCATTCACACCAGATGGCTATTGTTATGTTGGCTGTTGTCATTTTTCAATTTGATCATCTAAGAGAGAAAAGGTCATTGTCCCTGACTAAACAGTCAGGTACTGCATTTTTAAATTCTTACAGCACAACACCATGCCATGACACAACAGCTGAATATCGCTGCCACAAAGACTTAACAAAGTAAGAAGAGGCAGTGTAGTTGCTAAGTATAGAGAGAGGTTGCTTTAAACAGTAGAGTATGAAAATTTTTTCTTCTTCTGAAAGCACTTCTCTGTCATTAAAAGGCAATTAAAAAATTGTTCAATTATTTTCAGAAAATATTCTCAACCTCATGATAGTCTCTATAGTTAAAAGTTTAATGAACACCTTTTCCTTGCTCAAAGGTTCTTTATGTACAAGTGCTATCTACATCTACTGTTAAAAATATATTCCTTACAGAATATTCATTTACTTAGGATTCAATTGTGATATAAATGACTAAGAAAATTGACAGAGGAAAGAAATAGAACCTAATTCTTTTCAAAAATAGCATATTAAAAATACTAAAATTTTCAAAATAGTTTTCAAGAGGCCAAAACACACAAAACGCTCCTGTTATATAACCAATTATGAACCTTAAGTAACAAGTCTCCCAAAGCACTATGACCTATAGAGCATGTTATCAAGAAATAAAATAAATCATAATCCTAATTGCTATTTAAAATTTTTCCTTCTTGAAGACCATGTTCTTACCATCTTTGCAAGTTCTTCCATCCTCTAGGAGTTTGACTCCAGTTGGGCAGGCACACTGATAAAAAGGCTTGACTGGAGACATCAAACACAAGTGGGAACAACCACCATTATCAATTCCACATGGATTGGTAGCTGTCAAATATAAATCACACTGATTAATACCAATGATTACAGATGATCTTCGTACACAAAGGTTAACAACCATAACATGAACAACTGTGATAAACCAAATTATTACCAAATGTCATCCAGGTGCTTCACTACTACACCATCTGCAAGGAAGGGAATTAATCTGTAAAATTTACCTAGTGTTCAGAATCCAAGAATACACAAGAAATAAAGCAGGATGTCCCTGCCCTCAAAGAGCTTACCATCTAGTCAGTATACCAAAATTAACAAATGATAAAACAAAACTGAATCCTATCTTGCACCTAACAGATTATGTAAACAAGTATAGAGTCAAATGGGAAATAAATCACTAGGGATTAAAAAACAAAAAAAGCTTCATGGAAGATGTAGGACATGACAGGAACCTTGAAGGACAGGAAAGATAGGTAACAGGACATTTCAAGTGTGAAATCACATGAATAAGAGCTTGGAGGCCATACACTGGCAGAAATAAGATAAACTGTCCCACTGGAGATTACAATTTCTGTTAACTAATAAGAACTAAAGTTGAATGAACAGAGAATGGGAACAGACTGGCACAGGGCACTGAAAGCCAAGAAAAGTAATTCCAATGTCAAGAAATCATACTTCGGAAAGATTACCATGGAAAAAATAAGCATATGGATTAAAGAATGGAAAACTAAGAGCAGAGATTAATTAGCAAATTTGTAGAAACTATTAAAAGAAATAGATTTAAATAATATTCATAGAAAGAAATCAATGTTAAGATAGACCAACACAATATGAAAGATAAAAGAAAGTAATAACAGATAATTGCAAATCCTCAAATTAGTAAAGCATAAAGGATTAAAAGTGCCATTAAAAACAAAAAGAAACCAGGAAAATTCTTTCCTAAGGGCTAACCATGAGAATAAAAAATTCATACAAATGACTGAACTTTTTTTCTTTACAAAAGAGTAACACATACATTTAAAAACATGTTTATGGACTCATAATCACAAGAGTCCAATACAACAAATTCAATATTTGACTATGTCACCTAAACTAATACAAAGCAATGTATAATCCAAAAACCCTTCATTTCTAGCTATGGAATACAATCAGACACATGCCAAACATTTATTTACACACAAGTGCCAAGCACTTAACATTCTCAAATTCCTTTAAACATAATTCTATTCCCCTTTGTAAGTTAATAAGTCATTGTAAAAGTTGACCAAAAAACTAAAGCAAAACTAAAAAAAAAAGGAGATGGGGTGTGAACAGAAAAGTTTAAGTAGGTATTTTATTCAGCAATTTGAGGTACTAATCAGACAGATTAACCATTCAAGAAAAATCTGTTTTTAAACATATTCATATGAAACATCAAACACACATAAGAGACATAATATGAACAAGAAATACATTTGTGTATAAGCTATCTCAATTTCTTATTTTATTTCCTTCTTTTCTACCTCCATAACTCTAAACCCAAACAAGGAGCTGAGGTGATCTATAGTTACAAATGGTTTAAACTGTTGTTTAACCTGCATTGTATTTTGACGTTCTCCCTATTTTTTAATTCCTCCCTGCTACCTTTGGATATGCCCTCCCTCCTCCTGCCTCTCAAGAATGCCAGACATCACAGTTCTACAAAGCTATTCCAACTTGGAATTTAAAAATCAAGATCACTTACCATTTGGCTGCCTCTGTTGGCTGAAGGCATGTATATCCATGGGAGAGAAGATGTTAGAATGGATTTCACGCAGACCCTCGCCAGTGTACTTGTTGCAAGCCAAAATGGAGTGTGTATTCCAGTCAGTCCAGTACAATGTGTCCTCAAATAACGTCAAGGCAAAAGGATGTGGAAGGGAACCTTTAACCACTGCCTGCCTATTAACACAAAGAGAAAAACTCAAAACGTTTCTAAATTTTACTCTTTTATCAAAACTTTATCTCTTCGTTAAATGGTCTTGTAATCCACATTAACACATACAAATCCTGAGTAACACATATCTTATGGTCAAATACACCTGTGAAAAATAAGTCACATAGTAAATTCAAATATATTGTCATGGTGTCCAAATACCCCAAACCAAGTATTTCAGAGTAGTCTCCAAATTGGTAGCAGCCCTCAGGTTCATTAGAAATTAACAGAGACAGAGAAGACCCAAGGATTAGCACTGCTGCCCATTCCCATCTCTGGACTCACATCTTCCATCCTTCCACATAATTCATCTCATTAGAAAGAGAAAGGCAGGCAGAAAAAAAAAATCCTACAGTTTATAGTTGGCACTGGGAAGTAGTTTTAAATCAGCAATAGGTTTTTTCCCTTCTTGATGTGGAAGAACAAAGAATCTAGGCTCGTTTCTTCCATTATTTCTTATGGCTTTGATAACTGAAACAGTAAAATCAAACACATGAGGCTAAAAAGGCATTCTGGCAGAGCTTTCTCTGCAAACCCCAGTCTAGCTCCAGTGAAAGATCATCTCAGCGGGCCTTCTGCTATATGGTTTAACACCCACAAGTCATGTAGCAAAAAAGAAGTCCTGCCACTGGCAGAATGTGTTCATCAGGCAAAGCACACCAAAAAATGTCCCAAGCAATCTCTACTGTGTGAAAGAAAAGGTGAACAGCCTGATTAGTATTAAAGGCACAGAGCTTTGCAGAGTGTCATGGAGAGTTATGCAATTAGTAAATATTCCTTTTTTTTAATCCTTACCTTAGGACATTTCTTTTTCATTCCTTTTAGAAAAAAAGGGAAAGAGAGAGAGGAAGAAAAATATCAATGTGAGAGAGAAACATTGATTAGCTGCCTCTCATACACGTCCCAACCTGGGATCAAACTCGCAACTGGGTATGTGCTCTGAACGAGAATCAAACCCACAACCTTTTGGTCTATGGGACAATGTTCCAGCCAACTGAGCCACATGGGCTAGGGCAGTAAATACTCTTGAATGATGAACAAAAAAATGTTTTGAGCCAAAATAATATTCAAGAAAATAAATGCTCTGACATTTTCACAATATCAAATATAATATTTTCATAAATTGCCCAAGGGGGTAAGAAAAAAGGGAAGAAGGTAGGGAGGGAAAATATAAGCAACTGAAGAGAAATAAAGAATATCATGTATTTTAGGGAAGACAATCCAATTTTAGGTCCCTGAAGGAGACTGACTACCAGTTAAATAAATTGAGTGCAATAAAATAATTTTTACCTAAGCAGAATTAGCATCTGTTATTGCACATGAAATGGTCCTAGCCTAAAGTTTTTCACATTTGGGGCAAATTTTTAAAAACTGAATACAAGATTAGCATGACTAGTTTAATAAACGAACTTTCTATTTTAGAACCTCATACCTACTCTGCCAGCCCACATCACCACAATTTTCTCCTCTCAGTTTTCTAATTTTCTCTTCCCTAACAAATTACTCATCTCTCTCACTTCCCAAAAAGAATTGTCACGATGTCTATTTCTGAAGTGGTTTCTTCCGCTTTTTACTAAGTTCATTAAAGTGATCATGGCATTTACATGAGTGATATCATAGCTTAAGGCCAAATTTAAACAGGCCTGCATATTCCACACTAAAGTCTTCCAAAATTACTTATGGTAAGACACAGAGAGTTCTGAGAAGCTGCCAAGAAAAAAAAGTAACACAACTGAAAAATAAAGAATAAAAAAAACTACTCAGCATTTCTTTTAACCATTTTTTAAAACTGTAAATTACATAATCAAATCTATGAAAAATTTGGGGGAGAAAAAGCCTATGTCCTTTGTATGTTAAGTAAAAGGTTAAAATTCACTCTAGTGAACTCAACAGAAGAGACTAAACAAATAGGAAAAACAAACTCCCTCCCTACAAAATACACTCATTTCATATACTGATTGAAAGCATTTATACATTGATAAGAAATCAAACAGAGCTAGGTTCAACTGTTCCCGACCCTTACTACTTATATCATTTCTGCAAGCTTTGCTTTCCTCCTCTGTAAAGGGATAATAATCTAAACTCACTGATTTACTGTGAAGATTATATGATAATACCATCTTTAAAAGCATTTAGCATTATGCTTGGTATTTAATAAAGATTTCATAAATGACTCCTCAATTTTAGGATATATGTTTTTAATATTTTAGTATTTCTGATAGAAGAGTAACATTTTACAAGTGAAATTTCATGTGGTAGTATTTAAATCAATAAAAAGTTCTTAAAATCGATTAACTTATTACAATGAAGTAAATACCAGACTCAGGCTTATTTATATTCCCCAGGATCTCACACATCAGTATGTGTACAAATTAGGTAGATTTATTTATTAGATACTCAGGAACTGCTCAGTAAAACTTCATTTCTTAAATAAAATAATATAATTAACAGAGCTGAACAAAAAGCAGAGCTGAAAAGGCTAGCACAGGTTCTTGTCATATTCTTTGGTCATTTACTGGTTTGTCTAGTCAATGGTGACTTGTTCCTTGAAGTGGAAATAGCTGTACATGGTGTTCACCTTTCTTCTCTCTGATGGGGATTATCAAGCAGGCCTGCCACTTGGTTGGCCCCTGGAATGCAAGTTACTGCGAGGAGGAATTGGTCATGGGCACTGAGAACAACAGTGGCAGGCAAGATCAAAGCTCAGTTTGTCAGTAGTATGCCTCAACAATAACAGGAGTTAAAAAATAGATCTCTACTACGGAGACCAACATATTGTAAATAAATATCACAACTAACAGCCACCGACCGTCTCATAAAGATACAATTCAAAGAAAAGAAAAACATTTTCTGTTTATCATGAGAACTCAGGATTAACTTTCTTTACAACTTTCTTATATCTGCTAATGTACATCTGCTGTTGCACATTACACCCCTAAGGAAGAATTTTTAAAGATCAAAAAGAAATAGGAAAAGAGATTTATTTTAAAAATAAAATATTTGAAAGCACAAAGAACTACACTGGACCAAGAAAAATGACACTAAATAGCTCAAACCCTCATGAAAACTCAAAGTACCAGAAACAGCAAATATGTAAGTTAATAAAAGACTCTAATGTTTTCTCCTTTTTAACCCTTTTAAAAACACATAAGATTGTATAAAGCAATAATTATAATATTGTGCTGGTCATAATAGAAGCATAATAATATACAGGACAATAATAGCACAAAGAGGGGAAGAAGAAATGAAAGTATACTAGAGTTAAAATTTCTATACTTTACAGGTATTAATTTAGTACTCCCATTAAGCAGATTTTGACAAAATCCATACTTCAATCTCTAGAATAATCACTCAAATTTTTTAATCCCAAAAATAGTTTAAAGAAAATCAACAAAGGAAAATAATACTCAATACAAAGGAAAGGCAGAAAAGAAGAACCAGAGGAATAAAAAGACAGATATCTAAGAAACAAATCTCAAAATGTCAGATGTTAACCTAATCATATCATTAGTAACATTAAATGTGAATGGATTAACTATCCAATCAAAAGGCAAAAGGTTGAACACCTTAATATATGTACAAAGTTGACCCTTGAACAACATGGGGATTAGAAACATGGAGCCCAGAGCACTTGAAATGCACATATAACTTTTGACTCCTCTAAAACTTAACTACAGTTGTCCCTTGGTATTCCAGGATGACCTAGATACCAAAATCCGCAGGTGCTAACGTCCCTTTAAAAAATGGCACAGAACAATGCGTACAGTCTACTCTCCGCATCTTTAGATTCCCAGCAACCATGATCAAAAACACTGTTTCTGAGCTGCAGTTGGATGCGAAACCCAGGGAACACTGATGGCCAATTGTATATTTATTGAAAAGAAAAAAATCCAGGTATTAAGTGGACCTGCACAGTTCAAACCCATGTTTTTCAAGAGTCAACTGCTTATAAAAGATAAAGCTTGTTAGTAAGATTCAACTACGTTGTCTATAGGAGACACACTTTATATTCAAAGATACAAATTTGTTTAAAGTAAAAGGGTACAGCCAAAAGTAACCAAAAGAGAGATGGAGTGGTTCTATAATACAAAACACACTTCAAGAAAAAAATATTACTTGAGGAAAAGAAGCATATTTTAGGACAAAGGGTCAAATCATCAGGAGAATAGAATTATAAACACACATGCATATAAAAACCAGGGCACAAAACGAAGCAATCTCTGACAGAACCGAAGAAATGGACAATTCAAAAATAACAATCTAAGAACTCAACATCCTATTCTCATTAAAAGACAGAACAAGAAGCCAGAAATCATTAAAGAACTGGAAATTTGAACATTATCAACCACTTTAACCTAGCATCTATGGAAGACTCCATCCAACAATAAGAGAATACACATTCTTCCAATTATACACGAAACTTTCTCTAGAAAAGACAACATGCTAAGTCACAGAAAAAGTACTAATTTAAAAGACTGAGGTTACAGAAAGTACATTCCCCAATAACAGTGGAATGCATTGAGAAATTAATTACACAAAGAATTTGAGAGTTCCACAAATGAGAATTTTCTAAATTCTAAATACTTCCTTAATGTTTTCTAAATAAGCAATGAGTCAAAGAAGAAATCACAAGAACATTTTTTAAATATTTTGAGGTAAAAAAATACAACATACAAATGCTTATGAGGAAAAAGTTTATGGAATGCCACCAAAGGACTGCTTAGGGAACATTCCATAAATTTACCCCTAAACGCCTGTTTTAGAAAGAAGATAGATCTCGTAAGAATAATCTAAGCTTTGACCTAGAAAAAGAATAGCAAACTAAATCCAGAGCAAGCATAAAAAAGAAAATAAAAATATCAGGGTAGGAATCCATGAAATACAAAAGAAAAACAATAGAGAAAAAAATCGATAAATTTAAATGTGGGTTCTATGACGAGATCCACAAACTTGACAAATCTTTAGC